TTTCCTCCCCCCTCCCCTCCCTCCAAAGAACAAAAAAAGAAAGAAAGAAAACGCGTAAATAAAATATATCCGCCATCTTTTTTTTTTTTAGGAACGTTATCGTGACGAAATCGAAAGTGACGGATATGCCGCCAAAAGATACCGACGATGACGTTGATGATGATGACGATGCCGACGAAGATGACGATGATGATGATGATGACGACGATGATATTTTCTACGATTCGGAAGATGGTCAAGACGATGATGAATCTACAGATTCAGTGCCGTAATTATTCATTTGACCTGTCCCCTACCCTGCTCTCCTCCCTCAACCCCCCCCCCCATCATTGTTTCATCAATTTGCTTTTCTTTTTTCAGACGGTGTAAAACGTGTCCAATAGTCAAGCCAACGTTTCTTTGTGGTAACGACAATCGTACCTACAGTTCTCTCTGTCGTTTGGACTATCACAATTGTTTACATAAAACCCACGTGAAAATATCATGCAAAGGATTTTGCCCATGTAAAGGTAATTCCCCTGCCCCCGCCACCACCACCACCGCCTCCCCGAAAAAAAACAATTTAATTCATCATCATTATCATTATCTGCGAGTTTTTTACGAATGTTCGATTCGATTTTTTTTTTGTCGCATTTCGAAATAATCCAATTATCACACTTAAAAGCTTTCCATTGTAGCCATTTCATCATATTTATGACGTAACAACTACGTGCCTAAAAAAATAATAATAATAATAATTTTTCAACGATTATTCCGAATAGGTGAACTCGATCTCATGTTGAAGAAAAAACAAAAACAAGCGGAAAGAATGAATAATTTAATGGCTAAATTTCGTACTACGATGGAAAAAGAAAACAAATACAAATCGCAAAAACAAATAAACGGAAACAGCAACAACAGCAACAACAACAACAACAAATTCGACAGCCTAGAAAAATCATATAAGGTTTTGAAATACGACAAATACAATCAGAAAAATGTTTTCGATAAGAAAAAATATCAGGATAAATACAGTTACGTTCCGGAAGATTTCAAATACGACAACAAACATTATAAATATATTAAATATAAAAAATACAACAAGGTAATTACAAACAAACACACACACACCGGAACAAACAAACAAACAAACAAACGAACAAACGCATTCCTTTCACTGTACGTGTAAGGGAATCGTTTCTGATCTCTTCCTCTCTCTTTTTTCTTTTATTGTTTATTTGTAAATTATTATTATTATTATTATCGTTTTCAGGAGGGTTACGGAGCAGACGACAAATCACACAACGAAGTCATCGAAACGAAAATAATGTGGCCGACGACGAAAGATTGTTCACCGAGCGGTCTTCAATCTATGGGCAACAGATTGTTGGATTGGTTTTCCGTCGTCATGTCAGAATCTAAAAGGCGTAAACCGTCAAAGGTCAAAGGTGATTTACCCAATTGGTGCAAGAGCGAAGTCAGGTGGATGTTTGGGTATTTGGATTTGAACGGAGATGAAAAACTATCGTTGCAAGAACTCTACCACATGGAACACGATCATTCGGAAAAATGCGTCAAACCCTTCGTTGACAGTTGCGACACGGATCGCGACATATTTATATCCCCTAAAGAATGGTGTCACTGTTTCGATAAAACTGATAGACCGTGTACGGCGGCTAAAAGAAGACTTTCACCGGATATGTTGGGTGAGGATTTCCGGAATCAAAAAAAAATTACGTCATTGTCATCGTCATTGTCACCGTCATCATCAAGATCGCTTTTCTTTTCTTTTTCCAGGTGTTTTCGTACCCGATTGCGACAACCAAGGTTATTTCCGTTCAACGCAATGTCACACATCGACCGGAATGTGTTGGTGTACGGATAAACACGGTGTGGAATATGCAAATACGAGAATAAGAGGAATGCCAAATTGCGGTTGGTTATCATTCGCAAATAAATTATCATCATCATCATCATCAACATTATCATTATTATTGCTATTTTTTTCCAGAAAAACTAATCGAAAAATCAAAATTGAAAGATGTGGGTAAAAAGGAAATGAACGTGAACGATAAGATAAATATAGATGACGAAGATGAAGATGACGATGATGGTAACGACGAAAGTGATTTCGAAGGAAGCGCGGACCAGCCGTTAGATTTTTAAAAAAAAAACAAAAACAAAATGGCGCCAACGGAAATTACGTAAGAACGCAAAGAAAAAATGAAAAATCGTTTCCGTTTTATTATTAATAATTAATATCTACGATTCGCTTTTGCTTTTCCTTTTGTTTTTGTTTTTTTTGTTTTTTTTATTTATTTATATGTATATTTAAATTTTAAAAAAAAACTTTATAGTTCGAAAGGGTAGAAGAGAGCAATCGTAAGAGTCACAATAATGGAAGAAAAAAAAAAAATTTTTTTTTCATTTTTACACACGTTTTTAGAATAGATAAACACAGTTAAAGAAAGTCATAGAGAAAGAAAGAAAAAGAGGAATGATCGTAACGAAGGATGAATCTCTCGAGTTTCGATATATCGATACGATATGCGAGGAATGTAAATGAATGAGAGAGCACTTACTTATATTACATTACATACAAAACCCTTTCCCTTTCCACGTCACAGCCTACGTCACAACCCCTCCCTCCCTTCTTACCGCCCCCTCCCCTCCTCCCCTCCCCCAAATTATGATTATTATTATTATTATTAAAAAGCTTTTAATTAGATTTAATTAATTAATTAATTAAAATAAAATAATAATAATAATAAAAACTGTAAATTTATACTCAATTGTTAGTTATTTATACGGTATATATGTATATATACATATATATATATTTATTTATATATGATATATATAGTTATTATTATTATTATTATTATTATTATTATTATTATTATTATTATTTAAAATTTTTAAAAAAAATTTACGTAGACATTCCATATTTATGTAGTTAAGTGCTGTGGTTTTAATAATAATAATAATTGCTTTATTATTTATTATCATTATTATTATTACTAATATTCATTCGTACCTATTATTATTATTATTATTTATTGATTTTAAAAAAAATATAAATATGTGATTACACGTCAATTTAATAAAGCAACCACCGTTTATAAATAAATAAATAATTTTTTTGTTTCTTAGTTGCCTAATTGCTTATTAACGTTAATATTGTGTGACGTCACATTGTCGTCATTATTACTATTATTATTATTATTTGTTTTAAAATAAAAACAAAGAAGTTATTGATATTAGTATCGATCGATCGATCAATCGATTGGGAGAATTTTTTTTTTTTTAATTTCAATGTTATCGTTTGTATGAAATCCGCCATATTTGTTTACGTTTTTTTTTTAATTGTGTGGTTAGACAAGGTTACGAATGAGAGAAAAACAAAAAAAAAATTGGGATGCGAAAGAAATAAGCAAGTGTGTGTATGTGCGTAAGTGTGTGAGCGTGCGTTAAATAAACAGCGTACCTGAAATAATAATAATGACGATGATGATGATATGATGATGATGATAATAATAATAATTTTCGTTTTAAATTAACTAAATGCACAGGTAAAAGACAAAAAAAAAAAAAAAAAAAAAAAAACTTTTTATAAACTTAAACGTCAACGGCTTTCATGTCAATTTTTAAAGAGCAAATCACGCTATAAAGGATAAAATCACATTTAATGTTTTAGAATAGGGATAAATAATAATAGTAATAATAATAGTAATAATAATAATAATAATGATACTAATGATAATAAATAACGAATGAAAATTAATTTTTTTTTTCCTAACTCTTTTGATTTGAAACTTTATAAACATTCCAAATTATTAAAATTAGGCTTTAGATTTCGAAAAAAAAACTAATGATAATAATAATAATAATAATAATATTAATGCAAAATCGTCCATTTGATATAAAGGATGAAGTCGTCGCCATTTTTATTTACCTAAGTTACCTTAATTAATTATATATATATATATTATTATAAATATATGTATTCGTATATACATATACGTTGTGTGCCATTTTTCAGTCATTCAGTCATTCATTCATTCATTCACTTTTTTTATTTATTACCGTTTAAATCTATTAATATAAATTTCGGCCTAATTTTTTATTTATTTAATAGAAAAGAAAAGCGGAAATGACGATTCGTATATGCTATCTACGGTTTTGATTTAAATAAAAAATTTCGATTATGCGACACCGTCCTCGTTTTATATCCCCCCATTCACGATTCCCCTAAATTATTATTATTATTATTATTATTATTATTATTAACTTTTTTTTTGTTAAGTTTTTAATTTGTTAAAAAAAAAAAAAAACCGTTTTTTTATTATTTGAAATTTAAATTAAAATTTTTTTTTATAGCAATAATTAATTATTGATTAACGATGATAATTTTTAATTATTACGAATAATAATAATAATAATAATAATAATAATGAAATTTTTATGTGTTTTGTGTTGATAAATAAATAAATAATAGAATTAAAATAATAAAAAAAATTAATAAATAAACGAGAATTTTTTTTTCCTTGCCTTTTTCCTTTTTCCTTTGTCAATGTTAATAATGGTAAAAAAAAAAAAAAATTTTATTTCCGTTTCCGGTATCGCGATTATTGTTAAAGAGAAAGTAATAAAAGTGTAAACAGACTTACCCTTTTAAATGATGAAATGATTTTAAACTTGTAAGAGCAATGCAACTCCGGCTAGAGTCCATTTCGATGGTTTGTCTTTCGATTTTAAATTGAATGTCCAGACGTAAGTCGGTCCTCTTGTTCTCGTCTTGTACACTGGACATTCGTAAATATTTCTTAAATCTTGTTTGTCTTGAGTTATAGCCTGGACAAAAATAAACAACCTAATTCTTTGTTTTACTAATTACTATCGACACGTTGATTTCTTTTCAAAACCTACTCTTATATTGATGACCGGCATCGTGGGAAATAATTCTTTAAGTCTTGAATCGGTAATAACGCCTTGTGCCACGTCCCATCTAGCACCTTCCATGAACAAACCGTGTACGTATGCTCCGTCTCTGGGAGCAGTTCTGGAGAACAAGAATTATTTTTTAAAATGTACACCGCATGCATTAATTTTTGACGTGTCATTAGTTTATTCTTAACTCACGTGAATTCTTCTTTTTGTTTTTTCGTGACGTCACACTGTAAACACATTTTATCGAGCGGCAATTCGTTTTTTCTCGCCGTGCTTTGCATTATGGCGGTTAAAAAACTTTGAGGATTGAAAAATCCGGCCAACCATACGGACGACGGAAGCTGAAATTTCGATTTTTAAATATAAAATAAATTTTATTGTTATTTGTAATAAAAAAAGTTTATTTTTGACTCACGACAAAATCCGTTGCCCAAGTTTCTAATTCTCTTAATCTTAGCAATAAATCGGCAAACCAAGACGTTAAACCTAAAAGTGATGGATATGCTCTCCTGCTCCAAACGTTCGGAACTTGATCCAAAAATAATGAATTTTCTAAATCTTCCATATCGGAAGTTATCGTGAGTTCACCCTTAAATTAATAAAAAAAAAAAAACTTTTTATCGTGGAACTAACTTTTTTTTAAAATTTGTTTTCTTACCTTCAATCCTAAATCAAGTTCTTTTAAAGATCTTTTCATGTCACCCGTTAAAAAATTCATTCTTTCACATTCTTGAAAAGCAACAATCACGTAAGGAGTTCTTTCTTCTACTTTGCTCATTATTTCCGCCATATTGAATTCATCGGGAAGTTTTTCAATTATTTCATCGAGAATTTGTTTCACCTGGAAAAAATTCGATCGTTTTAGTGCCATTTTTTTTTTGGTTGCATATCTGATGATAAGATCAATAATTACTTTGTCTTCTCTCGTAACGGTCGTTCCACCGGATGCACCCGCGTCTCTCGGTTGCATTTCAAAAACCGTTCGAAATAAATTTTCAGCCGAAGTTGTTAAAAATCCAATTTCAGCATTCGGATGCAAACCGTAAAGGTAAGGACTTTCCGGAGGCATAGCTTCATCTATGTAACAATGAAATCCGACGTAATCAACATTCGGTGGAGCTTGAAATCCTGGAGCGAGCATGAGTTCACCATCGACCTATGTAAATATTAAAACGTGAGTTTTTCTTTTAGTACCAAAACAAAAAAAAAAAAGAACTCTTACTCATTCTTACCAAATCAGGTTGCATGAGTTCTTCGAGGTACGATATGCATAATCTTCTATCCCAGTCATCCGTTATGTGACCGCCGTACATGATTTCACCGAAAAGATACCTGAGATCTTCCCAAGGAACTTTTGCATTTGCTTCCAAATAATTATATAAAACGCTTACGCTTATCGTTAAGTCACCTGAAAGGTCAAAGGTAAAACGATAAGGTCATACTTTTAAAGACGCTTTCGAAGAATGGGGGTCGTTTACCAATATTAAATGGATAAATTCTATTCCATCCTTGGGGTCCGAATTTTCTTCTTTCCGCGACGACAGCATGAAAATAACATAGAGAAAATAAAATGGCTTTGAATTCCGCTTCTTTTCCGCACATTTCCAAAGTGTCCTGATTGAAATTGTCCAGAGCTTTATGAATGTTTGCTTGCATTCCCGTAGGAGGTTCGTTCGTTATTTTTATCGACGATTCCAAAATTCCCTGTTAAAAATTTTTTTCGTTATTCCAATGAATACTAAAAACTTAAGAATTTTAAGAAAACGTACCTGTGGTATTATGTGTGCACTCGGTGTGGCTGCTGGTTCAGCACTCATGAATACTCTATAATCGCTGTGAGAATTTTCAGAAAAATGTTCCAATTTTTTTTCCAAAGACGGCAACCATTTTTTAACCAAATGAATATTTTGTAATATGACCCAATGACCTTTTTGTGCTGCCACGTCCATCGCTCCTTCGGCTACAACTTCTTGCCCCTGTCCTAATGACACGTTATGAAAATTTTCATTTTGACTCGTGAAACCAATTTTTCGTCCCAATTCTTCAACGTCCTAACATAGTTTTAAAAAACATATTTCTTTTATTTCCGTTATTATAATAAATGCGCATATTAATAATAATAATAATAATATTTTTTACTTTTAATGGATTGACGCCGGGAGAAAGAATGAAAAAAATTGGCGTTGACGGACTCGTTTCTTCGAATGATTTTGCAAATTCCAAAGTTTTTCCTTCAACGTATTTATAACCTAATTTTTCTTCGATGAAAACAGCCATTGCGTAAGTCATTCTATCCGGTCTGAGTGCTCTCATCAAACACAATCTTTGCAAAGCCGTTTTGTTTTTCCATTCTTGGGGTAATTTTTCCCTTTCCGGACAATCCGACTCGACGAATTTTTTCCATCTTTTACTCGATGTTTCGATATCTCGATCGAGACTCCTAAAAATCGATTAATTTTATCGTTTGAAATATTTTTTTTCAAAAAATATCGTGAAACATACCTGAATTCATCTTTTTGAGATAATGTTCTTACTCCGCCCCAGCTAGTGTTCGATAAGAAATCAACCGGACTCGTGACGTGTGGCGTTATTGGAAATCTTAAAAAAAAATCTAATTCTGCCGGTAGAATTTCTTCATTCGTCAAAAGAATCTTTTTATAATGAAAAATAAATTATTAATTTATCATTCGATTAAGAATATTTTTTTTTTTTAAATGTGATTCATACCTGAAAAGCCATTTGCGACGTGAAAATAAGTTTGTCGCATTCGAACAATCCTCTCGTTGTGTACATGAATACCGAATATGTTATCGAATCGATTAAATTATTAACTCTGATCGATACGTCTTCTGATTTTTCAGCTCTTTCGATCGCCTTTTGAAAAACCACGCTGAAAGCCTGATTAGCAAATAAACGATAGCAAATAAACGATAGCAATATCGATAATCAAAATGTCGGCAAATGTTTTTTGCTGCAAAAATTTTTACCTTGAGGGAAAATTGATAAATCGGATTAATCGTGTTTAAATCATTTAAAATAAAATAAATTAAACTCGCTCTCGATGCTGCCGGTCTATAATATTCTCTTGCTTGATCAATTTTTGCTGACGTAATTTTTGCTTCGCCAACTCTTTGCTCGATTTCGGCCGCTGTACGTTTTGTCGTTTCTAAATTTTCAACCAAAGCCGTATCTCCTAAAATATTGCCTAAAAAAATTGTTTTTTTTTAATTTTTTTTTTTTAAATTTATTTTTGTTTTTAAAATTATTATTTTATTTACTTCCGGCTGATGATAATCTCGACAAAAGATCATCTTCTAATTTTTTAAGCATTATTTTAAAATCGTTTTGTTGTTTCGTTAAATCCGCTTTTAATTCTTCCAAATCCGGTCTTTCAGCTTTCACGACTTCTGCAAGTAATTGATCTTCAAGTCCGTCTCTCGTCACCGTGAAATTAATCAAAGTGGTTTGTGCTTGCATTTCCGGTTTGTAATGAGGATTTGCTAGCTTTGTGTGAAGTATGAGTCGAAAACTTGGATTATATTCAACTTCCTTATCCCCGATTTTAATGGCTCTAATAAAAAATTATTTATTAATTAAAAAAAAAATTCTAAAAAAGGAACTTTTAAATATTTGTCGTACCAACCTTCCTTTTTTTATGAGATTCCTTCCCAGAAGTGGATCCAAAACGGGATCTACACTTTCTCCAATATTTTCAAATAATATTGTTGAGCCGCATCCCAAAGCTTTTTCCACCACGTCCAAATATCCCTTTTGACCTAATCGAATGACCTTTAAAGAATCTCCATATTTTTGTTTTATCCATTTTACTCCCTGAAGCTACCCAGAAAAAAAAAAATAAGAAATTTACGAACGTAAAATATTATTATTAATAAAAAAAAAATTTAATTTTATTTACCTGAGGATCGATCATTAGAGGCCATCGATCGGAATTGGATAAAATTGTTGCATTTTCCGTCGACATTCGATCGCTGGGTAAACCTTCGTTATTCCAAGTAGCTATTTGAGCATCGTCAGTTAAAAGTGATAAAGGATCAAGTCCTTCCGTTATTGGAATCGGCGGCTAAAAAAAAAGAAATCGACCGTTAAATATATACATTAGAAAACAACACGTTACGAACAAATCGTAGGAAATTGAATGAAGAACCTCTAAGGTTTTTAAAAATGGTTGCCACATTTTATTCATTAAATCCAAACGAAATTGTTTTGTGAAACAACCGACGTACGATATGAAAGCAGTGACCAAAAGTATATCTCCAGGTAACGTCATTCTTTGCTGCATGAAACTAAACAATTATTTTAGTAGCAAAGAGATTAGTAGAAAAAATAATAATAAAAAAAATGAAATTTACTACTAACTTTGCAACCGATTCAGCCCAACGAACGTTTTCCGATCCTAATCCGCCTACTAATCTGTTAGCCAAACTTATGGTGCTGCTCGTCGCATCCGCTTCTTGTTGACATCTTAATTTTTCCGACGTGGCTTTTTCAAAATCTGCCGTGAGTTTAGCCAATTGTTCTTCCAAAGACTGCAATATTAGAATAAATATTATTTGTTCGAAATGAAAATTAAAGTCATGTATTACAAGAGGAAAACTTACGGCAACTTTATTTTTTATAATGCTTAATTTTTCTTGCGCTGTTGCCAGTTCAGCATTGGCAGCGGCCAAAGCTTTTCTTTTCGGTTCCACGTCGCAATAAACTTCGTAAAATTTTATTATGTTTATCACCCAAGCACACAAACCTAAAAATTTAAATTATAGCTAGCTGCATAATTTTTTATTTGGGTAAAAATATATTGTATTTAAAAAAAAAAAGAAAAAGGGTGATTACCTGCAGCCGCTCCTGATTTAGATCTGACGAATTCAGGTTCGAATTCAGCATCTTTTAAATAAGGTTGAATTGCTTTTATTATTTCCGGATGAATATTTTCCTTATCGTAATTAATGAGAGTGTCTAAAAATTGATCAACTTTTGCCATCATTATTTTTGCCGCTTTCCAACTTCTATCCTTTGGAATTTTACCATTGGGAGCTAAAAGTACCATAACTGCTGCCGTGACGTTCGTGACAGCTCCCGGAGGAGATCCGAATGATTTGAGTTCCGTAAGATTTGCCTGTGAAAAATTAAAGTTTTCATTATTGTAAGTTTTAAAAAAATTAATCGCGTGTGTATGCGTAACATACTTTGTTTAAAGTATTCAAAGCTTCTTGTGCTGCTAAAAGAGCAGGTTCGGCTTTAACCAAATCAGCTTCGCAATCTTTTTGTTTTTTTAATACTTCCGATGCTATCAAAGCGACTTTTTGTTCTTCTTCATCGGCTATACTTTTTTCTATTGAACATTTTTCCGTTTCAACTCCTACTATTTCAATCAAAGCATCGGCTGCTTCGTTTTTAATTTTCAGCTCCACTTCTTGTACGGCAAGTTTTTCTTTCAAAGCATCGACCTTTCGAGATAAAACAATAAAATGTAAAAATTATTATTATTATTATTATTATTATTATTATTACGATTTCGCCGGATTTGATTTTTTAACCTGTTCGGCTGTACTCCTTAATTTTTCCAAACCGTTTTGAAGTCTGTCGACTTTTCCGGTCAGTTCGTCATTTTTCATTTTTAAAAGTCTTGAATAAAGAGAAATCTGTTCGAGAAACGATTTCGGCGTCGTGTAATTATACCTCCTTTCGTTCTGAAGATAAATTCTCGACATTGAATTTACAGATGTGTGAGCATGAGCCATAAATTTCGCTGCCGATTCCCGTAAACCCGACTACAAATCAGACATTTTTAAAAAGGTTAAAGGTCAAATTTAAGAAAGTTATAAGGAAAGGATTTAATACCGGCAAAGGTTCTAATTCTTCTAAAAATCTTTTTGATACGCTCATCAGAGCTTCCTGTGGCCATTCGTGAAACCAATTAATAGCAGTGCAATTAATCACGGCTGGAAACTTTCTGGAACGAACTCGTAAAGTTGATCCGACCGGAGAAAAACATAAAACAACTTTTAACTGTTTTCGAACTCTGTCGATAAAAAATTTCCAACAATTTTCTCTTGTATCTAAAATTCCAGCTCCTTTGACCTGCAAATATAAATATTTGTTCCTTTTTCTTTCTTTTTAACTTAATAAAAATTTTTTTTATAATAAAATGACGTCACCTCGTTTCTCACTCCACCAATTATATTTTCCATTTCGTCATCCGGAAATAAATCAGGAATTTCTCCCGATGCCAACATATCGTTAATGAGTACTAAAAACGTTTCGTAGGGTACTTGAGCATCCGTCATTAAAAACATAATTCCGACGTTTTTCAATCCTGATTTAAGGTACAAACTTGAAAGTTCCATCTTGGAAAATAGCAACAACCTTTTACAAACGAATCCCTCCATCTTTAAAACGATTGAAAAAGGATTTATTTATTTACCTTCAAATCGAAAACTCCGTAACCTTTTCTCAATTGTATTTGTGCCACTTCCAAAGAAGCTATGAAAGCTGCTAATCTGGAAAGGCTTTGTTTTCCGCTACCTCCGACACCTACTAAAAGTGCGCTACCTCTCGGAGACTCCAATATTCTATTTATTCTAAATTATAATAAAATCAAATTTATAAAAAAATTCTTTCCCGCCCCCTCCTCCTCCCCCCTGTTGTTTTATTCGTTTAAATACCTGCATATATGCATCATGGCATCCTCGAACAAAACTAAATTCATGGCGGCAACAAGATCATTGTAAGAAGATAATGCTTCTTGTAAAAGTTTCGTTATGACCGTCCACTCGGTTATAGGCATGTATTTCGGTTCTCCGATTCCTTGTGCAAAATGACAGTATAGATTAGGTTTTTCAGACACGACACCTTCATCCACGTCCTTGAATTTATAATAATCGGTATTTAAGAAAATATATTAATTATAAAAACAATAAGAAGGAAGAAAGATTACATCGAAATTTTTTTTGACTAAATCCGTTTGAATTTTATTAAAAGCATCTATGTCTTTTTCATCCGTCAATTTGTCTCTGTAAACTCTTTCTGTTTCGTGAAGCCACAGACGAATCAAATCGGTCGGTTGAGTTAAGCATTCGTTCGTACTAAACAACAGCCCCTTAAAAGAAAAAAAACGTTTAAAGTATGTTTTTACGTCATCGAATGACGTCATCGTATTGATTTCTACCTGAAAAACATTCGATAATTCTCTCAAATTAAATATGTAATGAAATTTAATTGCTGTCGGAAGAAAAACGGCTCCCGCTTTGGAGTGAAGTGCCAAACTTGCTGTCACGATACTTTGTGATAATTTCACTACGGTTGATGGAAATTTAAATTCGGAATTATTTAGATGTTGTATTAATATTGAATGATATATCATGTTAAGAGATTCTTGACTCGGAAAGCTTTAAAAAAAAAAAAATTGACAATTTTCATTTTTAAACATTCTAAATGAAGAAAAAAAAAAAGAATTGAAATTTTTGAATTTTTTACCTGACCGCCAAAACGCAAAAATGACGTTGTAATCTTGGATTGATTGTAAAACTTCCAGCGGTCGGATTCATGCAAGAAACGTATTGCGTGTTGTGAATGTCTTTAATCGTTAACTTCGTTCTATCGTACCAATGAGAATAGTCTAAATGCTGTCTAATTATTGTATGGGGCTGAACGGTTCCATAAGGATCAACCTAATAAAAAAAAAAAAAAAAAAATAATAATAATAATAATAATAATAATAAATTACCGGATAAAAATTTTTTGTTTGTTTTGTATTCCTACCTCCGGCATATTCATATCGTCGATAAAATAAATTAAAGTTTTGTTTCCAGGCGGACCGTAATTTCTTCCAGCTTTTTTTTCCAACGGTTTTTCTAATATTTTTTGAAACATTTCGGACGTCGTGTAAAAATTAAATGGTATTTTAGCGACGGCAAAATTTTCATTTAAACTAGATAGTTTTTCACCAATGAGTACCGTTTTCCCACATCCGGCATTACCGACCAACATGACCGGATGTCTTTTTTCCATAAGAATATCAAGAAAATAACGAATTCTTATCGATTCAGATGTGTGCACCAACACGGCCTGAAAAAGATAATTTTTTTTTTTTCAATTAAATTCTATTAATAGGGGCAAAATATATTTTTGTTAAATTACCTGGAGTGGGATATCCGAATCCAATTCAAATTTTGGTACTCGTTCGGTCCAAAGTGTAAATTGTTTGGTTTCGGCATCGATGTAATAATCGAAAACAGTTCCTTGAGCTGGAAATTTTATACTCTTGAATTCGTTAACCCACCATTTTGAAAATTCTACCCTATAATCTACGGCTTGATCTTGAAACATGGCCGCACCGAATGCCCAAATGCAAGCAAAAACAAAATAAGTTTCTAATATTTCTTTCGGACCTTCCGGTACGTAATTTTGAGGTATTAACAAACAATCTAATAAAAAACAAAGCATTTGTATGTGAGCTATTTCGACGATTCCGGTGATTTTTTTAAATCGAGTTCTTATATTCTCCAGGCATGCCGGAATGTATTTATCGAAAAAAGTGACAAGATTTGATTTTTCCGTCGCGTTTTGTCTGGTTTCAATCCAACTCGTCACGAACCTGAAATTAATAAAATTAAAAAGGGGATGGATAAAATGGCGGTAAATTTTATAAAAAATCTTACTTACGGATTCCATCCTAAATCTTGTGGATTCAAATACAAAATTCCAGCTCTTGAAACCGTTGCCGGAGTAGCCGTTCTCAAGTTAGATATTTCAAAAAGAAGACGCATGGCTGGAGTAAGAGCTATTCTTTCATTACTAGCCAATGTTAATACCTGAAACCAAAGACAGAAATTTGAATCGAAAAGAACAATTGATTTCAAGTTCAAATATAAAAAATACAAAAAATTTTACTTTATTATCATCCATGACGGTATTCAATGATTCGATCCACATTGGATCTATATCACCGTCTAAAACAATCCATTTCGGATTATCACCCCCCAAATTCGCTTGATCTCTCATCAAAATGGAGAAGAGACCTAAAACAACAAAAACCCCAAATTTTGTTTTTTTTTTTTTAAATGTGAAAAACTTAATAAATTTCATGATTTTAATCGAATACCATCTTTCCATTCTCTGGTAGCTGGATTAATGATTCCAAAAAGTTCATCATTTGTTACTGCTTTTGGATTCAAATCGTTATAAATGGGTTTTTTTTTAATGTTCTGATAAGTTTTGTATAACGTTTTCCAAACTTGAGTTTTTCCAGTTCCAGCCGTTCCCACAACGAAAACGGAATGTCTTACTTCCAATAATTCTTCCAACTGAACAACCTAAAATGAAATCATCAATTAATTTGATATTTAAATTTTAATAACAAATTTGAAATTCGTTTAAAAAAAAAAAAAAATTTTTTTTTGTACTTTTAAAATATAATTGTCTTCTGGTTGTAAATTTAAATCGAGCGTTGCTTGTTTGACTGTTTTTTCAAATTCCATATCTCTTTTTCTAGGTACGTCTAATGCAGGAAATAAATCTCCTATCAAACCCATAAAAACAGGTACATCATCAGTAACAATTTTTGGTATGTTAAAATCTCTTAAAGCTCTCATTAAAACTTCTTCTTCCGGTCTTCCAGGATCTCCTCTCTTCATTTGAAAAAAAAAAAAAAAAAATTTTAAATTTGCAAATTTCGATTACTTTAATTTTAGGAAAATTTCAAAATAATACCTTTAATGAACCTGCAACAACCAAAACGCTTTTTATCGCTCTCAGACCCCAATCGTAATGATCCTGCTTCGAAAGTAATTCTTTACAAAGAGTGTATAAAGTGATAAATTTTCTTGCTAAAACTCTGGCTTCTTGAAATCCTTCGGCGACGAGCATTATTTCACATATTAGCTCAAAATCAGGCACGACCATAGCACAGGGCCTAAAATATTTAATACGTAATTATTTTTATCATCCGGATCGAAGAAACTTATTCATGGTACCTAAAAAGCGCTTTTAAATTTTCCGGAAGTTCCGTTCTCCCAGCATATCCAGGATTCATTGTAATAAATATACCAACTGTGGGCACCATCGCAATCATTTCTCCCATAAAATTAAAAGTTGATTTTTTATCACGTATTGCATCCTGAACGCCCAGACAAAAAAATAATAAATATAATATTTTTTTCACGTACGAAATCTTTCGCCTTTTTCTTCTGCTATCGCTTACCTGTAAAGATTTCACCTGTACGGCGACAACAGATAAAACTTCAACGGATATTCTATTAAATTCATCGAAACAACCCCAAGCACCGGTTTGTGCTAAACCTTTGTATATGTTTCCGCAAGATTTGTAATCCATTTGTTCAGAACAATTAAACACGTAAACCATAATTCCTAACGCGCGCCCTAAAAAAGAAAAAAAAACCTTTAATATTTTCCTATTAAACGTGAAATAATCATATTTCAAACAGGAGACCTAAATCTTTTGTCGTTTCCGTTTTTCCCGTACCAGCAGGTCCTGCTGGTCCTCCACCCATAATCAAATGTAAGCTCTTGTAAAAAATAAAATCAAATAAAAAAAATTCAAATTTTTTTTTAGGGATAAAAAAATTTTTTTTATTTACTTGCGTTAAGGTAATATAGCATCTATCCGTTAAAGGAGTGATGACAAGTCTTGGTGTGTTTCCTAAATATTCGTGGGAATAACGAAATTGTGCGTCACAAATGTTAGCAAAACAATCTTTTTCCTGTTCATCCCACCTAAGAAGAAAACGTTTTAAATTGTATTTTTAAATTAAAAAAAAAATTTTAATTTTTTTTTTTAATTGTTAAACAAACCTGTGTCGTAATTGTGATTGCCATTGAAATTCATTTGAACTTTCAACTTTTTTTTGTATAAGTTTTGCAACGACATCTCTCGAATGAACGTCGATTGTACAAATGGTCATTATTTTTTGCCGATCTTGTTTCGTTAATTCTCCGAGAAGCAATGATATCAATGTACTCAATTGAGAAATCTGAATTTATAAAAAAAAAACATTCATACTTTTCATTTTTTTTTTTCAAAGAAAATTTTTTTTTTTTTTTTTTAAATGAAAAATACTTGTTTTTTTTGATAATCCTTGAGAGCGTTATCGTAACCTTCTTCGAGTCGTGCAAATGCCATATTCACTTCCGTCGTCCACCAAATTTGCGTACCGCAAAGTGAAACTTGAGCCGGATAATCAAACAGCCATTGTTCTCTTTGTTTTTCTTCGTATGTGAAAACACCTTCGGAAAAATAATGTCGAATTGATAATCTCATCGAACTTTGAACTCTGTTTAACCATTTTTCCACCTTTAAAAGAAAAAATAACATTCAAAAAAAAAAAAATTATAACGTAATGTTTAAAAATAAAATAAAAGAATATATATGTACAGCTCCTGTACAATCGCATTCTTCGTTAAATTCAACATATTCGCCATCTTTAGCGTACATTCCCAATGCCGTTACTGGCTTTCCTTCTTTCTCTTTGAAATTTAATCTTGCAAGCGAATCAAACAATTTCGTTAAATGCCTTAAAAAAAAAGAAAAAAAATCAAAGTAAGTTTACTATTGACATTTTCTTATTTTCATTTATCAAATGTCATCACTTTGCAACTAATTCCGGTTGATTTCCATTGGAAAGTACATCTAATAAATCTGCAGAAGAAACAAAATAAAATCTAGGAAACGAAAGACGTTTCGTTTCTAAATATTCGGCAAGAGCTTTTTCGCATAAAATCAATTGTTTTTGAAGATCGTCAAGAGTTTTTAAAAGACCTTCTTGATTTGTTGCTTGCACTACATTCGGAGTCATGGTCATTTTATCAGTTAGCATCTAAAAAAACAAATATTTTCTTTTAAAACGTCGAATAATAATAACTTAAAAATAAATAAAATAAAAAATCGTAAACTAACTTTAAAATCTCGATCGATGTTATCAAAACGTTCGGCATCTTCCGGAAGTTGTTTTCTTATATCTTCGGAACTCATAAAAATCGATTCAAGATGCATCCAAGTTCTTTGTACTTCGAACCAAACGGTAATAACCTGATCGGCAATTGAAAGTTTCGTTTGCCAACCCGATACTTCTTCCAAAAAATGTGCTATAAATTTTGATGTTATTAAATTTTGTAATTGAACCTGAAAACGAATTGAAAACAAACTTTCAGCGTGAAATGTACCTTATTGTAAAAAAAAAAACCTAAAAGAAAATAAAGGAGATAAACCTGATTATCTTCTAATGTTTCAATTAATTCTTCTGTCGTTTTTAAAAGTTTGCAATTCGTTCTTGAATGAATTTCATGATCGAATTCCATTTTTGACCATGTCACGTTAAGTTCTCTTAATATTTTTTCCATTGACATTTCTTTAACCGCTTTATCGACGATATTTTTAACTTCTTCTTCGCATTTGTGTAAATTCAATTCCAAAAGATCGGCCAGTGTTGTTTTCGAATCCATAACAAATTCGACCTATCGACACAATACCTTAATTTAAAATTTCATAAAAAAAAAAAAATAAATTTTGTTTATCGTGCATCTGAATCAAATAAAACCTTTTAAATAATTTTTGGTAAAAACGATTTCATTTCAGTTATTGATGTCAAATTAAAATACGTTACTTACTGTAAACTTTGGAGGCAAGTTGGCTAAACTCTGATTTTAGCAGCATGCAATCAAAATGTATTTACAACGATAGAGTGATTTTTCATTTTTCTATATAAAAATATAATAATTAATTTTTAACGAAGAGATTTTAAACTAGGTTTTCACTAGATTTTCGTTAAAATTATAACCATCAAAAAAAAAAAAAAAAAAAATCAAATAGTCAATTTAAATCGAATTATATGAATTATGTACAGATGGTTATTAAATGTAATTTTGATTTCCATGCAAAAATTATTAGAGAATAATTAATTATTATAGAATTTCTTATGTAATTCGAATTCGTATCCGTTAAATATTTTAATCGTTATTAACGCACGAAGGATTATTATTTACAATATATACAATATTATTTATAATTAATTGAATTTTTTTTCAAACCTTTGTTGAAGACATTAATTGATTCCAATGTCTTTCTCTAATAGCTGGATTTTGAAGTTCTCCAACGGCTTTTAATGACGTCAACATATTTTTTACAGTTGCTTCTAATGTTATGTAAGTATCCCAACCTCTCATTTCTTTATCTAAGGCTTTTTTTAACAAAAATACAAACTCGTAAGTTTTAACTTTTTTTTTTTTTTTAAATAAATAAAATGTTTTAATTAAATAATTAATTACCTCTGATTTCTTTTGCGAATTTTTTACATTCGATATCCATATTTTCCACATCGACTTTTCTCCAAGGAGTCGTTTTCCAATCTTCGATACACGATTGAACGATGTTAACATAATCCCAAAGTTGCTAAAATATAAATAATAATATTTAAAAAATTTTTTTTGTAAATTTTTTTTTTTCAAAATGGATTTGTTTGCTTTACGAGACTAACTTTTAACATTTTAATTTCTTTTCTACATTGTTTCATTGGTTTGAATTCCGGTACGTTAACTTCAAATAGGGATGCCGAATCTTGAATTTTTTTCATTTCTTGTTCGAAAGAAAAAAGTTCCAAATGTGCTTTGTCTAATTCATCGTATGGATTTTCGCAATCGTTTTTCATGAAAGAATATTTTTTAAAAGAATCGCGATATTGATTTTGTGTCACGTCGAATGCTTGAATTTTTTTTCTTATCGAAGAAACTTCGACGGCTTGAAGAGGAGCAACTTGCTGTTTTACAACCGTAGCAATTTTTTTAGTGTTTTCCCACTGTTCTGGAAGTTCCTAGAAAAAATTTTTTTTTTTTAAATAAAATTATTTTAATTACTAACAGTAAGAATTTTTTTAAAATTTATTTTACTTGTAGAAGAACATTTGCTTCTTCCGGAAGTTCTTGATCGTATGATTTTAACAATTCAATGGTTAATCGAATGGGTTCAAACATGTCATCCGTTACTGCTTGTCTTTCTTTTACGTTCATCAAATATCCCATAACGCTTACTAGTGTATCGTAATCACCTTCTTCTACGTTTTGTAGTAGACCCTCATCAGCTTGGCTTATAAAGTTAGCAAGATCTGTTAAACTGAACAAAAAATTTTTTTTTTTTTACAATATAAATCACTTTTTTGAATTAACTCATTTGTAAATTGAGTGATGATTCTTAACCTTGACATCACATGTTCAACCAAATGTTGTTTAAACATGTTACCCCATTTTCTGACTGTATTTAAAAGCGATTGCTTAAAGGGTCTACAATCAACTTGAAACCATCCGCAAAATATTTGAAACGATGCTAATTCTTCGACTTCGGAGTAAAGATTTTCGTACTGATCGATCTATAATCGAAAAAAAATCAAAATCGAAATTATTTATAAAATACGAAAATCAATTGTGCGTGAAAACAAACCTGTTCTCGAAAATCCTCTATTTTCGGATTGCATGTTTTCGGTTGAGCCGGATCATTATTTGCAACGTATTCCATTTCTTCCATTGTTAATTGCCTTCCATAAGTTAAAAATTGAGCCAGATAAGATTGAGAATCATCCAACCAAAGGTAAGAATATGCATCTACGCCACTTGCAAATTCGTTCGCTTCATTCATTACTATTTTAACTCCTTCGATAATTTCATTTTTCATATCTAATATATCTTGATTATTTTCAATTTCTTGAAGGTAATCCGTCTGATTATCCGATTCTATAAAATTCACATTAAAATTATTAAGGAATAAAAAAAACACAAAAAATAAAATCATCTAACCTGAAGCTACTCTGGGTATCAATGTTGCCATCAAAAGTATATCTTTTATAAGGTTTTCGATCACAGATAAAAATGTATCCGTTGAATTTGGATTGAGAGAAGGGACGAAAACAACATCGGGATCGAGCAATTCAAGTCGGACTTCAAATAAAGGTGTTAAATTTTTTGTAGAATCCATACCTTCTGCCAAATACGCTATACTAAAATTTGTTTCACACATCAGTATTGATTCATCTTTCAATGATTTATTGTTATTTGAACCGTTTGATTTTTACCTGCATCCTATCGTCCTCAACAAAGCTCCCGATACGATCGAATCGACATATTGTAAATATTTTTTCCACGCGGAAGAATTAGTTTTTTCTTTCATATCAAACAACGTCATATTTTTTTCTATCATTTTAAATATGTCGTCGGCTGCCGTTTTCATTTCTGCATATCTGAAAAATATTTATATAATCATCGTTGAGTTTATCGATTGTCATCGTGACACAGGTTATACCTACCTTTTTTGAATCCTATCCGTTTTTTCATCCAGACATAATAACGCATCTTTCTTTCCATCTTTTCTTTCGAAAAGTGGTAATTTCAACCAAGTCGACATGATATTTCTAATTACGCTTATGTTGTATTGTGTACTTTGTACTCTTTTATCCAAACTCCCGACCAAATTGAAAAGATTATCTACGTATTCGGAAAGATTGGGAGAATTCCAATTTAAATCGTATTGACCTTTTTCTATTTCTTTATCTATTTCTTTTACCTGTAAAATTTTCTTCGTTATCGAATCATATTTCGATCAAATCATTCGAAAACGAATAAATAATTACCAAATCTTTAATTAGATTAAATTCAACGGGAGCGCAAACTCTTCTAATTTTATTATACCAATCTTTGATTTGATTCAATCTCGCCGTGTACCTTCTAAAAACTTCTTCTTTTTCGGATAAATTTAAAGCTGCTTGCGGTATGTTTTCCTTATTCATCAACTGTAAATAATGTACCTCACGAAGAATGGCAACCTTGGAAAAAACTTAAAAAATTAAATTTAAATAATCATAATACATTTGTTTAAAAAAAAATATTCATTTACCAAATCAGGATCAAAATTAACAATTAATTCTGCATTTTCTTTTTTTCTATCGAGTAAACTTTTTTCTAAATTATTTTTACATTTATCTTCAACCGTTTGAGCCCATTCTTCAAAATATTTTTTTTTTAATTCATCCAATGAATTGATTAAAATATTATATTTTTCAATGGCACTTTCCGCTTCTGGACATTTTAAAATTCTGCGATAAAACAAAATTTAATTTAACGATTCAGAGCATTGTTAGCATGATAAAAGAAAAATCGATAAAAATATTCAATTACGGATGATCGATGGTTTTAAATGAAACGACACAATTTTGTATTCTCATTCCCAATTGATCGCACCATTGAAAAGCTCCGGCTAATGTAGGAAGAAATTTATACACTTGCATGTATTTATTTAATTTAAGAAATTGCATTTGTTCATCATAAAGCTCCTAAAAGAATTTCGTTGAACGAATGAAATTTCATAACGGATATATAAAATATACAAAAAATGATCGTCACCTGGCAAACGTTGACTTCACATATTAAAAAATCAACAATTTTTTTATATTTAGCCGTGAATTTATCTTTAACAAGTGGCCTTTCTAAAATGGTACCGATTATGTTAATAAGTTTTAATATACTTTCCAAATTATGACAGTCATCAAATGCCTGCAAAAGATAAAACGCTTAACAATACTTTTCTCACATTCAACCATTTTAATTACTGATAATTTTTTACTGACTTCGCATAAAATTGATGCTAGTTTTCTATCCAATTCCATTATTTTAACTTGAAACTCATTGTAATCAAAAATGAAAGCGTCATCCTCCGGATCTAAAACGTTATATGTTTTAGTTGCAAAAACGGAAAAATATTCGTGAAATTCTTGACTTATTTTAACTATTCTCCCACTCAGCGTTCTCCCTTTCAATCCTCCAATTTCAATTTTTTCAAGTTTTAAAAATTCTTGAACGGTGTCGAAAAACGACTTTAAATTACAAAATTTGAAACGAATCGATAAAAATTTGAAAATATAACAAAATTTAAAATTCAAATATATTGATTTTTAAGTAAATTTAATATATTCTTACTTGTATAGTTTGTAATCGGTTCAAAAACTGTTCAAATCTTTCGAAAACAATATTGGGATGAAAAGTCCACATGACGGGTTGTTCATTTTTAAAATAGGACGCCATATTGTTTTTGCAATCGTCAAAAGCTTTACGAAAATCATCGAATATCGATACGGAAAGTTTTATTCTTTGCATTGCTTCGTCGACATCCGTTTGAAAAAGAGAAGAAGGATCTAGAAAATGTTGCGCCTAAAAAAAATTTATTTTTATGATTATCATCACAAATTTTTTTTCCCCTCCCCCTCCCCCTCCCCACTTTTGCTACAATGAAAACTTACTTGCTCTATTAATAAATTACATATTTGTCTTATGAGTACGATTATTTTTGCTGAATTGCAATAATACTTTGAATTTGCCCATATTAAGCAGACGACGTGCAAAAGTGGTTTCAGTTGAGGTTTTATGTCGGAGAATTCGATTGTGTTTTCTAAATTTGTCAAAGGTTTCAAAAGAGGTTTAAGATATAAACAAATATCTTTAGCTTCGGCTAGTGCTGAAAAAAAAGCAACGTAAGTTTTTTTTTTTTTTAAAAAAGAAAATGACGACATTTTTCTTATTTAATCGTGAATGTACCGGCGACGATGTTTAAAAAAAGATTTTTAAAGCAGGGAAAATAAGCACTGTCCGTTATTTCTAAAATAACCGCCATTTTTCTAACTCTTTCATCTCTGAGTTGATTGTAAATGTATTCTAAATTTCTTAATCTACTATTCCAAAAGTTTATTTCTGAAAAAAAAAAAAAAAAAAAGTGAAAAAATTTAAATTTTCGTTCCAAAAATTTTTTTTTTCCTTTTTTTTAATTTAAAAAAAAAAAAATTATTATTATTATTATTATTATTGTTATTATTATTATTAAAAATTATTTAACGTTTTCAAAATTCGGTATTTTTAATATTTTTCTCGGTTGATTAATTTTAATTTTTTTTTATTCGATTAATTAAAATTGGTAAAAATTAAAATCGAAGAGTGTGTTTGTATTATCATCATCATCATCATCATCATTTGTTTTTAAATTCAAATGTTATCCGTTGGTATTCGATTTGGAAACGGTTTCGATAGGGCAAACGTATTAAAATTAATGAATTCCCTTCCAATGTCTTGGGATTACGATTTTTTAGTTTTAGGATGCAGCGTCGGAGGCATTGCTTGCGCTTTGGAAGCTAGTTCGGCTGGAAAAAAGACTGCCATTGTTAAATGGAAAAATTACAGCACAGCCGAAGAAGAAGGTTTCGACGAAGATTTAAAAACCATGTCTGAAATATTAAAATATAAAAATACGCCGACAAAATTGACCGGGTCCGGAAACAAATTGGATAAAAAAGGTACCAATTCTCCCAATGTCTCTATGGGAAATGTTCAAAAAGTTGTAAATAAAACAGAAAAGGATTATGGGAAATCGGTTGATAAAAAGGTTAGAAAAAGCCGATTGGATTTAAATAATGAATTGTATAAAAGAGGTAACGATTTTTTTTAACATAAGGAGCAATTTTTAATTTAGTAATGCTAATAACTATAATGATAATAATAATAATAATAATAGGTAAAGAAGCTCGAAAGATAATGAGTAGAGCTGCATCAATGCAAAACACGCTCGAACAAGCAGTAAATTACGGATGGAGAGTACGTACATCGATACAATCATTGACAATAAATTGGAAAAAAATGTCGGAATTAGTCATGGATCATTTAATGAAAGAAAATTGGGAACTTTTAAATAAAATAGTTAAAAGCGGAATTGAAATATTGGAGGGAAAACCTTGTTTCATTGATAGTCATACAATAAAAATATCACCGAAAGGATTTAAAGATTTTGAAGTGACGGCCAATTTAATTTGTGCAGGTTTTATAAATATGAAATCCTTTCCTAAATTGAGAATTAATAAAATAATTATTAAAATGAATTAATTTTTGCGTAATTTACTAGCTCCTTCTGGAGAGTATTACATTCCTCATGATTTACCTGGAGCAAAAGAATGTGGAATTACATGCGATGATTTTATTAGATTGAAAAACCCACCGGAAACAACTCTCATAGTCGGTTCAACTCCAGAAGGTTTAGAATGTGCATCGATTCTTGCTGGATTTCAACTTTCGGTTTTTGTTGTTGTAAGATTTACTAAACGTTTTCCTAGATTATTATTATTATTTTCTATAAAATGTATATATATTTTAATATTAATGCATTCGATTTTTTGTTATAGTCTCGATCTGATTTGCTTAACGGATTCGATTTTGAAATGTCACAAATGATAGTAAAAGAACTTAAAGAAAAGGGTGTGAATTTTTTTGAAAAAACCATTTTGACGTCTTTGACTTACGGACAGAATAAAAAAATAATGGCAGAGTTTTCTTCGGTGGAAACATCCGAAGATGGATTACCTTTGAATAAATTTTCTAAATTATTCGATACCGTTGTTTTTGCCATCGGTACCGTTATTTCGTTAGATTATTTAGAATTGGGTAATGCAGGAATCGAAATTGACATATTACAAAATAAAATTTTAACTAATCAATACGATCAGACATCGGTGAGTTGTCAAATTTTAATTATATATGGGTACCTCGTTTTTAATTGTAAATTATTTTTTAGGTGAGTAATATATATGCTGTGGGTGATGGAGTAGCAAGTAATCCACAAAATAATGAAATAGGAGAAATGGTTGGTAAACTTCTCGGAAGAAGATTATTTAAAGAAAGCACGGAGATATTGGATTATTTTATGATACCAAACGCTATATATACCCCTACTGAATATGCTTATGCCGGACTGTCGGAAAATGCTGCGTTATACAGGTTCGGTAAAGAATGTGTTGAGGTTTATCAAACGTTTTTCTTACCCTCGGAATCGATATCCCTTAAAGACAAAACAGAATGTTTCGTAAAAGCAGTCGTATATAAAACGAAAAATTTAATAATTGGACTTCATATATTCGGACCTCAAGCCAGTGAAATAATTCAGGGTTTTGCTGCGGCAATTAAATTAGGAATGACCATAAATCAAATCAATGCACTTGTCGGTATATCGTCTACTAATGCTAATGAAGTTGTTAAAATATCAAATCGTTCGAAAGAAGTAATAAAATCGTAATATATGTATGTACTCACCTACGTAGGGATTAGGATTTTGATTATTATGAAACGCATGAGAAGATTCTTTTGTGAGTACATCGTTAATTTGTGTAGCCCATTTAATAACCACTCCTTCAATAGCCGATTTAAGGTATAAATCAACGTCTTCACCACCGCTACAAAAACAAATTATTATTATTATTATTATTAATTAGGTATTTTAAGTTAAGAGTATGTTATAAAGTACCTTGCTCTAAGTTGCTTTTCAGCATCGTGTACTTTTTCAACTCCTACAGGCATTGGTAGGACCGTTTGTCCCGAAACTTGCCCTTTAACTTGATAAACGGTTGATTTTAAACTATGAACGTGTTTTTTAACGTCTTGTGCAATTACAGGCGGCCATTTTTTATGATTGCTTGGATTCGATAAAAGAGGTACAAATATCTGAAACGATACGTTCACTATAAGGATCTAAACTTAAATTCAAAGGTGTATATTATTATTTATAATAATTATTACCTCATCAACTAAAGTGGCTAATTGTTCTATATGTTTTGTTGCCATATCACCCAAAACAAGATGTTCCGATATGTTTTCTTTTGGAATCGGTTTATTTTTTTTTTTAATAAAATACGTTGCTTTGCTTTTAAGACTAATTGGAAAACTACTTGCTAACAATAGTTGTGCAGCTGAATTCTAAAAAAAATTTTAATTTAGTTCATTAGAAAAAATTAATTATTTATTAATAAATAAAGTGCAAAAATAAATACTATTGTATACAAACTTGTAAAACAATTAAAAAAGCAGGTTCAGAATTATCCAAAAATGCCACAATTTGTTTTTTAAGGTCTTCTGTTCCCAATAATCTGGCCCATTTTTCTGGTTTGAGTTTCATAGATTTTTGAACGTAGCTTCCTAAAAATTCTAATCTTGGATCAGGCGGTGGAGCTTCCATGATTTCCAATTAGTAAATTAAAACGTTTAAAAATTTATATGTTCTTGAAATTTTTAAATAATAACACGAGGTTTTAAAACATGTAAAAAAATTTTCACATTGCGTGGCTGATGGATGATGAAAAAAAGTAAAATAAAATAAAATAAACTGAGGTAATCCGTGACATCCGTACCCTGAATGACATTTTTAAAAAAATTCACGTTAACGAAATGAATAAGTGGTATGGGTATATATATATATATATATATATTTTTTTTATTTATATATTTTTATCACGAATTTTATATATATATATATATATATTTTTGTTTAAATTCATTATAAAATTGTATTTAAATTTGTTGTAATACGCTTAAAATTAATTAAAATTTTCTTTTTTTTATATTTGAAATTAACGAAATTAATTTTTACTTTTTACATATTTCGAGAATCCTTTGCGTGATTTCACAGGAATCTCGCGAGAAAACACGCGACGTCTTTAACGCAGATAAAAAATTGTGAAACCCAATGAGAAATTTTTAAATACAATTTGGCGGTTTTGTGAAGAAAAAAAATTTTAAAACAGTACCGGTTTTGATTCAAAATAAATGAAAATCAAAAGCTTAATATAATTAATAAAGTACTTACATACTTATCAAATATTTTATGTAAATTTTATTAACTGCATTTCATAAATTTGAAATGCCATTATAAAAAAAACTTGAATTCATAAATTAATTGTTAAAAGTTTTATAAAAGCACTTGTTTCAAATATTCTTTTGAATTTTTATTCGTTACACATTAACTACTTATTAAATTTATAACATTTCTTTATAAAAAGAACAAAAAGGTTTAAAAAGTATTTAAAACTTTTCGAATTTTTTTTCTTTCTTTAATTATCCATTAATTAATTCTTTCACTGACCGTTATTCTATGAAATTTAGTTTAAAATAAAAACTTCAGAGGGCGGAGTTGTATTAATATATTCTGACGTCACTCAGATATTATGATTTTACTTCTTCCATGTTAAAAGTAATATGTCATTTTTTAATTTAATTTTATTTTTTTGAAGTTTAAATGTTAAATATTTAAATAGTAATAATTAAGGTTTAAAAATGGATTTAAGCAAAGTTAAGGACGATCAAAAGTTGCATCTTTGCCGTTGGTATTACAGAGGTTAGATTTATTTTAACCATTTCGAATAATTTAATCAAATGGATTATTAAAAATTTATAATTACCTTTGTTTGTTTCTAATTAATTATTTAATTTTATGTAGCCGGATTTGCCTTTTTACCCTTTTTATGGTGCGTAAATGCAATTTGGTTTTTTCAAGAAGCATTTAAAAAACCGCCATACGAAGAACAAAAAGAAATAAAGAAATGTAAGTAGGTTGTTTACATGATTTTTCTTTTTTTTTCTTTCTCAAGTTCATTTTTATTTTAAATTACCTGAATATTATTTCTTTTTAATAATAATTTTTTCTATAAAGAATTCAATTAATCTCTTGCAACAACGTGATATCATTTACTCGAATGTAAAATTATTTATGTTTAATATTTTTCTTTTCGTTTTAGATGTTATATGTTCAGCAATTGGAGCATTTGTATGGTGTATAGTTTTGACAATTTGGATTATAGTTTTTCAAACTAACAGAGCTTACTGGGGTGAAATGGCTGACAGAATATCATTTATCATACCGACTGGTATTCCTTAACTAAAAAAAACCAGTTATTAAAATAATTTGCAAAAACAAATGAGTCTGATGCAAGTTTTTATAAAATCATTACATTGCTGTCGAGTATTAATTTTAAAGGTAGGCAAATAATGATTATTTTTTACAAAGTAATGTGATTCATTAACTGATTGTAATTTTTACCCTTGAAATAAGATTTCTTTAAAATAGTTTTCAGTAACTTGCACTAACATACTTAAAATATTATTTTAATTAAAAATCATTTTTTTAAATATTTTAAGTTAAATATGAAAGTATGAACATTGAGGACAGAGAAAAAAATAATTTATTTATAAATTACAAGTAAAAATTGAACTTGGGATAAAAGTAATTGTTTATAGATTACTATTGAAGTAAAATGTGATTTAAAGAAAATTTTTTTTTTTTTTTTATTATTATTATTAATAATTAATTAAAACAAAATAAAAATTATTTTTCTACAATTTCTTATTCTAAATTACCTTATCATGAAGAATTTGTTACCATTTTCTGCGTCAAAACAATTGATTCTTCTATCGGTTTATTATAAAAAAAATTTCCTATTTGAAAAATATATTTGTTGACTAGCCAAATGAATAATCCTGCTAAAAACACTTGAAGTAGTTTATGTAAAACCCAAAACCTATTGGGAAAAAAAAAAAAATTTTTTAATTAAATCACTTTTTATCATATATTTTTTTTGTTTTTTTTTTATCGATAACACACTTTTACTTACATGAATAACTTTTTTCTACATCTTTCTATGGAAGATTCACTTAATTTAAATATAAAACACCTAAGTCCTTTAATAACATTTTTAAAATACTCATCCCAATCTAATTCTGACATATTAAAATGAAAAAGTTTTTTATCTTCATCGGATAATCTATCCCACAAATTATCTACATTTTTATATTTGAAATGCCATTCGTGATTAGCAAAAAATGCCAAAGCTGAAGAAAATGAATAAATTTTCTTGTAAGCTTTTATAAATCTGAAAATAATTTAATTATAATAATATTATTTAAATACCAGGAAAAAAAAAAAGAAAACTATTATTATTATTTAAAACTCACTGTGTTTTTTTTCCAATTAAAAATAGTACCATATCCATAAATAGACCGGGTATAAAATGATACAAAACGGTAAAAATATTAAAGAAAAGTTTCATTTTAAATAATGATACTGTATAATACCAAATGAAAACTTCCATTGGATATTTAACTCCATGTTTAAAATTTATTTTTAAAAAATCTTCCCAAGTGATTGAATTATCTTTTTTCGAAACGAAATTATAAACTTTTAAATTTCTATAACGAGAAAAAGAAAAAAAAAAAAAATCAATGGTATAATTCACAATACATTCAAAAAAAATTATAAAACTAGTTTTTTTTAAAATTACTTTTCAGCAATAATTTCTGAATTTTCTTTGGAATCCATTTTTTCATATAATTTTTTTTTATTATAATTTTCACTAGTGTTTTTATTGTTTGCAACATCCCATGCCGAACATAATAAAGCATTTACAACCATATCCACAGGTACTAAATTAGCATTGACATTTTTATCAACCCAAAGAACTCTTAAAAGTCCAGATCCCACGCCTGGAATTTTCCAACAAAATAAATAAATAAATAAATAAATTTTTTTAATAGAAAATATTTCTAATAAACGATGACAACACAACTTACCAGCTAAAATTCCAGTGGGACCATTTAAATTATCTGTCCATCCTGGTACTGGTTCCTTGTATGAACCCATAACTGAAATAATATATATTTATTATCAAATTATTATTATCATTATTATAAACAATAAAAGAAGAAAACTTTAAATGATTTCTTAATAAAGAAAATCCAGATCCAGGCACAATCAAATATACAAAAACAAAAAGGTTTGCTAATCCATTTACAATCATGTGATTGCTAATCCAATACTGATTTAATTGCTAATCCATTTATAATCATTTGATTGCTAATCCATTTATAATCATTTGATTGCTAATCCATTTATACTGATTTTAGCAAGTAAAAAATTCTCAACAATTACCAAAAGTTCCTGTTATTAGTTATTAATGTTAGATACATGACATGGTGCTTTGTAATTCCTTCAGGAACACCAACATTAACCAAATTGTAATAAAATAACAAAGGAAGAAATATAAAAAAAGAACAATACCTATTGATGGCCTCAAAACAACAACAGGATAATCTTTAATATTATCAACAATTATACTTTCTGCAATGGCTTTGGTATATGCATAATTATTTGGCCATGGTTTTATTAGACTGAAATTAAAAATTAAACATCATTTTAAAAAGTAATAATAATAATAATAATAATAAAATTGTAAAACTTTTTTTGTTTTTTTACTTACTAAGGTGATATTTCATCGATTTTTTCATTCGGTAATGAATTTATTACATTTAAAAAATTTTTTTCCGTTATTGGAGGATCACTAAAATCTTCTTCGAGA